GATTGCAGGTTGCCGAGGCTCAAGCAAAAGAGGCTGAAAGAGTTGCTAGGAACTTTCCCAACTCTACGCCCTTGAGTTCTAACCTGAGTGCTGAGTGTGGTGGTGTACTTCAAGAAGTAGCCAAGCGACACCACTCAACCGTACAGAACCAGTTGCAGAGCCTTTTAAGAGACAACGATTATATCTATCACCAAGAAGTACCCGCCGAAGCAAGCCTTGAAGCCGTTGCCAAGCTGCCAGCCGCCAAGCCTATCCCCGTTAGCGAATTGTATGCTGGCCAAGACATCCAGCACATCACCGGCCCCGATCTCTTCTCAAAGATCGTCCCATTTGCCGTGACGGAATCTGCTAGTCTATATGACGAGGAGAAGGCGAAGTTGGTGAGAGCCGAGACGGAGCGAGTAGATACAGCCAACGGCGAGATGGCTGCCAGCCTGGATTATCTAAGGCTCCCTGGCGCATTGCAGGTGCTGAAGGGTGGCTTCGATCAAGACATTTTGCCCGACGAAGATTTCCGGCAATGGTGCGAAGATGTTTCGGACCATGAGAACCCGGTGGCCATTTTTGGATCTCTCAAGACGGAGAAGGAGTCCATCATCTCGATCCTGGAAAAGAGCACTAAGCAGCTGGATATGGAGGAGGGTGTATGCGAGAAGATGCGTTCCAAATACGAGAACGAGTGGACACAGCAGCCCAGTTCGAGGTTGACGACGACACTTCGAAGCGACATTCGCAACTATCGCGAAGCCCTCGACGAAGCTATGAGAAGCGACAACCAGTTGGCGGGCAAGCTGCGTCAAAACGAGATGGACTTTGATGAGATGAGGCGGGCTGCTCAGACGGGTGAGGTTGACCGACTATTCCAGCAAGCTGTTGCAGAGGCACGAGCGCGGTCAAGCAACGCAACTAGCCCGGCTGGCGTTGAGCCCAACCTGTTGGACGACGATTTCGACGAGGGACCCAGCGTGATGGATCAGATCAACAAGGTCGAGGATATCCTTAAGAAGTTGAACCTTATCAAGCGGGAGCGAAACCAGGTGCTGAAGGACTTGAAGGACAAGGTGAGTACATGACTGACAATTACCTCGATAATGTAGCTGACCATGACAAGGCTCACAACGACGACATCTCCCAAATTCTCATCCTCAACAAGAAGTCGATAGCAAACTACGAGACGCAACTGTTTGAGCAGGAATTGGAAAAGTTCAGACCTCACCAGAACCGACTGATACAGGCAAGCCACAAGCAGTCGGCCTTGATGAAGGAGCTTACAAGCACGTTCAACAAGCTGCTGCAGGACAAGCGAGTACAGTCGGAGCAGAACAAGTACGAGACAATTCAGCGACAGCGATCGTCAGTCATCAACAGGTATAAGCGGGCATACCAGGAGTTCCTGGACCTGGTTGCAGGACTGCAGAGCGCCAAGAACTGGTACTCGGAGATGCGTGAGACGGTGGAGAGCTTGGAAAAGAACGTCGAAACGTTTGTCAACAACCGGCGATCGGAGGGCGCACAACTCCTCAACCAGATCGAACAGGATCGGTCGACGAGCAAGAACTCGCATGCCGAGATGGAGAGGGAGAGGCTTCGAGAGCTCATGGACCGAATGTCGATGGACCCGAACAAGTCGGTATCACCTCAGCCTCAACCTCAAACCACGAACCGACCTACACCAGCGCCCGTATTCCAACCGGGACAGGGCCCCCGGTACACGCAGTCGAGCTTCCCAGGACAGTATCAGGTACCCAGTTCGCCGCCACCAAACCAGCAAACAATGCCAGGGCAGCAAGGATACCAGAGCTTCAGTGGTGCACCCACGACACAGTCATTTGGACCAGCTCCCATCAATACGTTTGTGCAGCCCACGTATAACCCAAGCCAGTACGCGACATCTCCACCACCGAACCAGACGTCGTTTTCGATGGGCGGTTATCGAGGTGCGGCGTCACCACCTCCCAACCAGACAACGTTTGGGCACCAGACGCATCAATCATTCAGCGGATACGGTGCATCAGCGGCACCTCAACAGACGCAGGGAGGATACGTGCCTCCAGGATTCGTGCCACCACCTCCTCCCCCAGGCCCGCCTCCGTTGGGACCCCAGCAGACATTCCATTATGGAAGCCAAGAGTTTCCAAACAGTGCGCATCCTACCAGCGCGCAACCTCAGTCAGCAGCGCAACAGCAGCCTCATGATCCATGGGCGGGCTTGAACGCATGGAAGTAATGAATGAATGGATGATGGAAGCAAAGGAACATGAGGATTGGATCACTCGGTGGTTTCATGAGTACTTGGTCACTTGGCACCGAAGGTGGATGTTCAGGGGCCGACTGGGACAAGTATATATCGTCACCGGGGAGACGGCCAAAGAGGCGGATGATAGGGAGGAGAGAGAAAAGTTGTGGCGATTTAGCACTGCAGTGGGTGGCAGGAGTTGACTTTGAGCAATACATGTAGACAAATCGGAACCCACGTTTGCCCTACATGGATGCAATGCAATGCAATATCGAGCCGAGCCGTGCAGAGCATAACATAACTAATAAATAGCCTCGGTGGCTGTTGTAGTCGGCTTCGCATGTCTTTATACCGAGAGGAGGTCGGGATGCGGTCCAAGACCCTTTTATGGAGTAGCTCGACGGCTGCACCCCGCACGTCATTGTCCCGACGGCCGAGCTGCGACCCCCAACGCTAAGCTCTAGCGGCGAGCCCACTGAAGGGACACCGCTAGAGGTACTAATCCAGGTGGTTCTAGTGGCTGTTTTGGGGTCTTGGAGTGGGGCTCCTCCCCCGCAAGAGCGGGCCATCTCTTTCCGCCTTGTTGAAGTCCATTGCTCTCCCGAGTCGGTTCCGCTAGAGTCGAGGTCCGGGTCCGGAGGCAGCGCGGCTATCTTGTCCCTTTTTGGGTCTTCTTCTTCTCCTGCTGCTTCTGCTTCTCTTTCTTTTTTCTTCTTCTTTTTTGTTATCATTACTGTGAGCTGTGTTGTGTGTTAAGATACCTCGACAATTGAATAGCACCGACCAACCCTCAGAGCCGAGCATTTCGTCATTCAACCTCGGGCCAAAGGCAGCACCTTCATCCTGCCACTGTCTTTTTTTGCGCATCGCGACCAGACTCATACCTCTCTACACACACAAAACTATTCTTCATCATGGTGTTAAAGGGCGCCGAAGTTGCTGAGCATAACAATGCCGACTCGTGCTGGGTCATTGTTCACGTCAGTACCTGCGATTGCGTGCTTGCGCTCGAATGATTTACTTACTGGGGCGATAGGGCAAAGCGTATGATGTGACAGAGTTCCTCCCGGGTATGGTCAAGAAGGAAAAGACTCGGGGAGACGAGATGGACTAACAGAGCTATAGAACACCCTGGAGGTAAAAAGATTATCCTCAAATACGCTGTATGTCCTTTGCGCCTCAAAACTCTGGACTGTGTTCTAACATGCGCAGGGCAAAGATGCCACCGAAGAGTACGAGCCCATCCACCCTCCCGACACCCTCGACAAGTACCTCGACGCCTCCAAGCACCTCGGCCCCGTCGACATGGGTACTGTCCAGCAGGAGGAGAAGGAGGAGGACCCCGATGAGGCCGCGCGCCTGGAGCGCGTCGAGCAGAAGCCTCTGCTGTCGCAGTGCTACAACCTGCATGACTTTGAGGCCGTGGCGAGGAGGGTCATGAAGAAGACAGCCTGGGGATACTACTCGAGCGCCGCCGATGACGAGATTGTACGCCTTTTATTATTGCTTGCTTTCTAAAGCTATGCTAACTTGTCTAGACTTTGCGCGAGAACCACAGCGCCTTTCACCGTATCTGGTTCCGTCCCCAGATCCTCGTCGACGTGGAAAACGTCGACATCACCACCACCATGCTCGGCGACAAGACCGACATCCCCGTCTACGTGACTGCCACCGCCCTCGGCAAGCTAGGCCACCCCGAGGGTGAGGTGGTGCTCACCCGCTCATCGGGAAAGCACAATATCATCCAGATGATCCCGACCCTCGCCTCGTGCTCGTTTGACGAGATTATCGACGCTGCTTCTGGTGATCAGGTGCAGTGGCTGCAGCTCTATGTTAACAAGGATCGTGATATTACGCGCAAGATTGTGCAGCATGCTGAGAAGCGTGGCTGCAAGGGCTTGTTCATCACTGTTGATGCGCCGCAGCTGGGACGTCGTGAAAAGGATATGCGTTCCAAGTTTACCGACCCAGGCTCGCACGTCCAGGAGGGTCAGGATACGGATAACAGCCAGGGTGCCGCTCGCGCTATCTCGACTTTCATCGACCCTGCCTTGAGCTGGAAGGATATCCCCTGGTTCCAGAGCATCACGTCCATGCCCATCGTCATCAAGGGTGTTCAGCGTGTTGAGGATGTGCTCAAGGCCGTCGAGTACGGCTGCCAGGGTGTTGTCCTATCTAACCACGGCGGTCGTCAGCTCGAGTTTGCCCGTTCCGCCGTTGAGATCCTTGCCGAGACGATGCCCGTCCTGCGAGAAAGGGGCCTCGACTCCAAGATCGAGGTGTATATCGACGGTGGAGTTCGTCGTGGAACAGATATCCTCAAGGCTCTATGCCTCGGCGCCCGCGGTGTCGGTATCGGCCGACCTTTCCTCTACGCCATGAGCGCCTACGGAGAGCCTGGTGTCGATCGTGCCATGCAGCTGCTCAAAGATGAGCTAGAGATGAACATGCGTCTCATCGGCTGCAACCGCATCGACGAGCTCCACCCCGGCCTCCTCGACACGCGGAGTCTGTTCCAGCACTCTTCCATCCCCGCTGATAACCTGTCGACGACAGTCTATGACCCCCTGGCCGTGCCAGCTCAGAGGCCCAAGGCCAAGCTGTAGAGAGTTCCCCTTTTCATGAGCCATGTTTACCATTTCTTGGATTCTGCTGCATGTGTGTTGGCATAGATGTATAAACTGTTAGAATACACGAGCGACTTGATATAAATATTGAGAAAAAGATCTCATTCGCTACCTATGCACCTTTGTCCTTTATTTCCTTATAGACCTCTCATAAACTCCTGCAACGACATCGGTTTCCTCACAGCATTATTCAACCCTTCATGGTACGTCACCCACACCTTGCGTTCCTTTTCCGTCTTGCGCGCCCTCTGTTCCGTGCTCTCCTTACCAGACTCTACAACTGGCCGTGCCTCAATGATACGGCCAAAGAAGTCTCGCTTGACGGACGATGCGTCCTTGGCAGACGCCTCTTCGACAATCTTCTTGTTCCTAGCATCGGCAGCCTTGGTCAGGCTCTCAAGCCGCCCTGAGGTGCCGCCAGCTTGGAAGCGTGCCTGGCGAGCAAGTGCTTCGCGCTCTGCATTCGTCTTGCGAAGTTCTTGGTCAAGAACCTGTCGAACGGCGTAACGCGTAGGCGCCGCAGAGGGGAGGAGTAGTGAAGCAGCAGTCTCGAATGTGGCGAGAGTGTCGAGATCCCTATAATCAGGGTTAGTGGTGATTCATATGTTCGAGTAGACATGACTTACGGTTCCATTCGGTAAACCCACTGCGGCCCCCGATTGACAAGCGATTCATCCTCAATTCTGCCCTTTTGCAGAGAAATTCCCACCTCGGCGAGTACCTCGGATGCACGCTTAACCATGGTACGCTCGCTCTCCTTGCGTACACTGGCCGTGGTTCCCTGACTTCCACCCACGACGACAGGCTTGACATCAGGGGACACAAGACGCACTAGGTACGGGAGGAACTCAGCAGCCACATCCTCAACACTGCGGAAGGATCGCATGAGCGTAGGGGTGAGTTGACTCTGCAGAGCCTGAAGCTGGGCTCGATTCTGTCTCTCAGCTTCATTAGCTTGATAGTCGGCGCGAGGGCCAGAGAAGGGCATAGGAGGCGTGTTATCCTCCTCAGCTTCACCACCCCAACGACGATCGTAGCCCATACTGGGCAAATACCGCTTCGGTGAAGCGAATAGGTGATGACATGCCAGCACAGGTTGACTGAGATACTGCGAGAGTTCCCACTCCTGACTGGAGTACAGCCGTGACTGGCACGTATCGTGGAAGTGAAGCCACTCATACGCCTGGTTAGGCTTTGTCAGGTAGAGATCATCGTTGTACTCGCGGTTGGGATACTCGGCAAACACCTCGGTCATGATGTGACTGATCTCGCCGCTCGTGTCAATCATCTGCCGTAGACGCTCCATGGCATACTTCTTCTGGTACTCGCCAAAGCCCAGTTCCGCCTTTGGCTGCTCGTGCTGTGTCTTGGATTCTGAAAAGTTCATGGCTTGCTTGGGAAAGCCACCGCCTTCTTGGAACAGACGCGAGATGATGTCTTTGACACCACCGCGGCCGACTCCACGTGCACCACCAGCGCCGTTGGCGAGATCTTGGAGAACATTGCGTTCTATCCACTGTCGAGTAAGGCGACCTGAGCCTTCCAGAGGCGATGCTCGGAAGCGTCCTGCGACCCATTCACCAACCACCATGACACCTCGAAGGTCACCCTCGACAGTGCTCTCGGCGCCCCGTTTAGCATCAATGCCACTAGTCATGCCCCAGGCTGCCTCGCAAAGCTTTCGAGCGGCGTCCTTGTCACAAGGAATACCCTCCTTTTCAAAAACAGTCTTGAGACGACCAACGACTATGTCGATGGTGGGCTTGCCGACATGGATGATTTCCGCCAGACCCGATTGTCGGAGTGGTCGAAGGGCGGGCGCGTAGACATCGTTGCAGATGAGAATCAGGGGACGCATGAGTCGAAAGTCATCACCCTTCTTCTTGCGCCCATGATGGTTCGACGCCGCAGCCCCTGAAGAGTTCTTCTGGTCCAGAAGAACAAGATCTATAAGCGCCTTGACAAAGCCACCATCGCCTGAGGCTCCTGAACCCGACACGACACCGTCGACTTCGTCCACCACGACACACGCAGGCTTGGCCACCTTTTGGGGGCCATCGCCGTCTTTGCGGTTGCTCACCGTCTTAACACTCTCTGTGCCCAAACTTGTTCGAATCCGGTTCTTTACGACATCACGACTTCGGTCGTCACTGGCGTTAATCTCGATAGCCTCGTAACCAGCCTGTCTGGCACATACATGTGCCAATGTCGTCTTTCCCAAACCGGGGGGTCCCGTAAGCATGAGAATCTTTCGGTGCGGCTTCTCTTCTTCGTCTTGTTGCTTCATTCCCGGCCGTCTTACAATTGATGGCCTAGACTTGGCCGCTCCTGGAAACACAATGGGATCCCATTTCTTCAACCAGCGCAAAACTCGTCGATTGGTACCATCGTCGCCGCAAAGGTCCATAAAAGTCCGCGCTCGATACTTCTCCGTCCATAGTAGTGTTCGCTTAGGCCTCTTACCAGTTGTTACTGGTGTTTCGATCGACTGTACCGGCACACTAGGCTCATGTGGTCGTGCTTGTTTCTTAGCAGCGATCTCAGCGGAAGCTGCGCTCATGAGATTATGAATATCGATGCCGTAGTAGCTCCTCTTAGCTCGTCCTTCCTTTGTCTTTGACCGAGCTGCAACCATTGACTCGTATGTGGGTGCCGAGCTTGTCTTTCGCTCCTTGATGGTTGTGGTGTTGCCTTTACATGTCCGGACTGTGAATGATTTGGACGACAGTCTGCCAAAAATGGATGTGGAATAGAGATCCTGCTGGATTGGGAATATTGGCCGCCGGGCTTCCACGTCGATGATCTCTGGTGTTGGCTTAGGGTCGTTGACAGGCTTTGCAGTTGTCGGCTCGACTTCAGAGACTGTCTCTGAAGGCTTCCCACGGGAATCCTCAATCCTGGGGCGCTTCGCTAGAGGTTGTGTATTCAAAAATTCCTCGGCATCGTCGTTCGAGTCGGAGTCGTCATCATCGACCATGAATGGTCCAGCTCGGGCTTTCGGTTTAGGAGGGCCATGGTCGTGGGGTTTGGCGCGCTTCGGGGGAGGAGGAGAGCTTTTGGGGAAGGTGATGGGTGAAGAAGCAGACAACATTTTGAATGGTATTCAGATACAAAAAGAAGGAGAGAATCAACAGTCAAAATGGGAAACAACAATCTGCGGTTGTTGGTGTTGGTGGGCTTGATCCATTTCTCAGTCAAGTCAAGATGGTCTCCGGGTTAGCGACGCGTCGTGTTTAATTGAGTCGCGTCTCCTGTCCGTGGCTGCCCCACTATCGAAAAAGATACGTACCTCTGACCCTCGCACACTCGATTATGTCAGCTTTCAGCCCACCACCAACTTCACATCGGAGCGGCGAGATAATCCGTTGGCCCAGAATCGGCTCGAGACCAAAAATTTGGCTCCTCAAGCTCACCAAGACGAGCCCGATTCCAAGCACCGTGGGCCTCAATTCGTCAAGATGCGCAAGCCGTGGAGATTCTACAGTCTCAACCGCCCAGTACGTTGGTCTTTTCTGCTCCATTGACAAGTTTCAGTCCGATTTCGCTTTGCGCCCGCTCTCAATTCACCATCGGCTAACCGACCCACGCGATATAGAAACTGAGGCAATCATGGAACAAGTACAACCTGTATAATATCGCTCGTGCGGCCGGCCGAGAGCCCCTCGTCAAGGGCCGAGCTACCTTTTTCCAGCAAAAGTGGGCGGCCAAGTCGAAAACCCGAGGCTACCACGGCGAGCACATTCCCGAGAAGAAATGGGTGCGACTCTTTTCCCGACGTCTACTCTCCTCTGTCGACCTTCCCCCGGAGTATCTGGCTGCCAATGATGGTTCCGAGCAGGCGGCTGGTCGTGGTTCAGGCTTGACCACCTCCACGGTGACGGCCGAGTCCTACTCCCGAGTCTCCCAAGGCAGCAACAAGGTCCGGAGTCTCTCCCATCCTGCTCAGCGGAAATCTGGTTATGGCGATGTCAACGAGATGCTGTCTCAGCACTTTGAGAACATGACACCATATATGCAAATGACTTTTGCACCCCTGGAGCGAAGGCTCGACACAGCTGTTTTCCGCGCCATGTTTGCCAGTAGTGTGCGACAGGCTCGCCAATTCATTATTCACGGAGCGGTCAAGGTCAATGGCAAGAAGGTGGGTTTCTAATGATATCTGGAAATTGTGATATCGATTACTGACGTCATGTCATAGATGGTTCACCCTTCTTACGCCTTGAACCCTGGCGATATGTTCCAGGTTCAGATTGAAAAGGTTCTGTATGGAACTGGAGAGCAAAAGAAGCCCGATGAGTCGGTCAAGAAGAGCAGGGAGTCCCTCAAGAACAAGGAGGAGAAGACTAAGGAGTGGGGTCTCAAGCAGCGCTCTCGAATCCTGGAGCATCTGGCTGCCAAGGAGGGAGAGTCTGCCAAGCCCAGCGATGCGCAGCTCGCCGACGAATCGCTCGACGAGCAACGTGCTGAGATGCAGGTCCAATGGCGCCGTGTCAAGAACCTCCGAAGCACGGCTCGAGAGATTCTCAAGGGTGGCAGTGATCTCAGGAACCTATCGGCTAAGCAAAAGAAGGAGCTCCGTTTGTTCCGTGACACTGCTCAGCGCTTCCTCTCTCTACCAGAGGATAGCAAGCTGAGCGCCAGGGACCTCCTCAACGAGATTCAATCTCAGATTGAGAAGCTTGGCTCTGTAGAGAGCTTCCGAAAGGCTGACACCGCCCCATCCGCAGAGGAGACCGAGGAGCAGAAGCTTCAACGGGAAGAGAAGGAAGAGAAGGAGCTGCAGTTCAAGACAAGGGTCTTGGAGGAGGGTATGGATGGTTTCAAGGACGACCGAGAGCGTGCCCGTGCTGCCCGCATTCTCGCCCGAGAAGACCTCACTCAGGATGAGATCCGTCGTCTCGCCGCCATCATGAGGAGGGACGCCGAGAACCCCATCGACGATTCAAAGCCTTATGCCACCCCCTGGCGACCCCGCCCCTACATGTCGGCCTTTGCCTTCATCCCTCGCTACCTCGAGGTCAACCCCAACATCTGCGCCGCCGTCTACCTGCGCCACCCCGTGGCGAGGAAGGGTATGGCCGAGGTTCCCACGCCTTTCAGCTACCTGACCAGCCAGCTGGCCCACAACTGGTACCTGGGACGGGGCTGAAGAAAATGATAGCATATGGTTTATGAGTGAGGATTCTGGCTGCTGGGTGGATGGGGCCGCCCGTGTAATATACCATCTTTTGGAGTGTACGGTAGACAGCCGGATGTACCTTGTATGTATCACCACTGTTAAAAGCATGCAAAGTGTGGATGAAGTCTTGAGCGTTGAAACTTGGAGCACCTATTGATCTGTGTATGCTGTGACTGCTATGTGCCACATCTCTAGGCTTGTGAGCAGCTCGGTCAGGTCATGCTCCCAGAACGACCTATACAAAATGCCATGAGACAAATGAGTTGACGGGATGCGGGGTTTGGCGATGATTCCGCAGGCCTTTAGATTTCATGGTGGCTTGACAAAGAGCCCATGTCAATGCAACAAATGATCTCCCTTTTATGGCCTGGAACCAATTCTGCCGAATCCTCTAGAAACAAAGACCTATGCTACACGCCCAAGTAATATTGCAATGATGGCTGAAGGCTCCCCAAAGTGTAATGGGTGGAAGGTATGTTGGCCATCGGATCTAACTTCCACGTGTGTAACGTGGTCAACAGGACCCCTAAGGCGTTTTAGGAGTGGATTTCTAACGCCATGACAACACGGAGATGCCGTCACTACCTAGGGCCGTGTTAACCTAGGCTTGCAGTATACCTCATTTGAGTATTTATGGTTGGCTAGAGGGAGGCTCATAAGAAACCGATGCAGAGAAACTACGTGTCGTCGATTCTGCCTCATTTTACTAAACATTTCGGAGGATTTTACCAAGCTGTCTCATGCCAAGTAATGCATGATCATGTCAGATACTACAAACCCTATCCCCCGAGATCACAAACCTCGGCGACCTCACCCTTGACATGGCTTGAGCTGGGCGTATGAGGCTCTCTGTGAGTTCGCCCTGTGGATCCTAAGGCATGATCCACTTCAGCAACTCTGGATGGAGGCTGAATCTTGTCGTTCCTGGGCCTCTCAGAGGCTGTGAGGATCCAATATTGGGCTGTTTTTTAATACCCGGTAGTAAAGTTTAGGCTCACTCGATTTCATGTTCTCATGGTTGATCTGTTGGTCCTCTCAATGAATGACTCGACAACACCAGAACCCCCAGAGTGCGGGACCCCCAGGTTGGTTCTCGATGCGCGCCACGGGGCGGCACGGATGGGGAAGGGCTCGGTACAGAAATCAAGGCCAGGGGGAGAAAAGAGGGCAGCAGCAAATGCCGAACTGATAGACATTCCAGGCGTCTTGATACGTCCATGGCAGCCAATCTGGGGGGCGTTTGATGCGACCTTATCAAGAAGGGCTGCCTCTGTTATCAGGGATCCCGGGTCCCCCGTTGCGCTAGGAAGAGGAGCCACACCCTTGGCTGATCCGATCGATAAAGATATGAGCTGCATGGGCGTTTGTCCCACTGGGATGGTATCGTGGGGAGGGGGCATGTATCTGGGGGAACTGCTGTATCTGCCGCATCTCAGGACGGGCTTTGTGCTTGGTGTTTTGAGGACGGCAGTGTTGGCTTCATTCCTTGAGACGAGAAGCCGGATACCGAGCCACTCCGAGTTAGTAGAGTTCCAGTGATAGGGAGTTGGATTTAGGTGGTGGCTCATGGCACAGCCAGTTACATAACGCCTTGTACTGTGAGTCGTCAGAGCCCGGGTTCGGAGGCGGGACCCATCGAGCAGTTTCCCTGTCACGGCGCAGGAAAAAAGCCCTCCTCCACGCTGGGCTCGGAACTGTAGGTACCTCCTTCCTCACAACGTCCTCCCGGTTGGGTCCCTCCTTCTTTTCGACTCTGGTTCTGGATCCTCATCGAACGTCCAATTGCCATCAACCTCCACAGACGCCGCTCTCGGCTTCTGCCATCTCCATCTCATCCCGTCTCATCTCATCTTTCATCATCCCAAAAAAAAGATCTCGTCCCCGCTCTAAACTCTTACTCGTCATCCTTTTCGCTCATCGCCTCTCACGCGTCACTTTGATACAATACAGTACTAGGAAGAACCCCTCGCCTCCCTCCTCAGCCTGACCCCTTCACTCCTCTGGGCCCAACCATGATTGATTACCAAGCACTAAACCGCGGGACGGATTAGTACCTATCTACGCTCTGGTTCAAATAACCTCATTGCCTTCATTCGCATCAACCTACCCGACCGTCGGATCGCCGTCCAACCGCAACGGGTTTATATTCGCTTAGCTCCCTGATTAATTGCTGATCCCCGTTCGCCCCGTAACCCTGATTCCTAGTCCCCCACGAGTGCTCGTGTGGGCCTCTCCCGACGACCAGCGCACCTCGAGTATCGCGTCATACCGTCGTCTCGGAGCTGGTCTTTCTCATCCTTCATCTCCTCTGGCGCCTATCTCACATAGCCTGCCCACATCTCACCCCCGGCAGCGCGCTTCATCACTGAAACCATGGAGGAGCCGCGTCTAAGCACGTCGCAGCAACCCGGCCCATCGGCCCCCAACCCGGGCGCAACACGGAAGAAGTCACGCAGAGGTGCCGATCCTTCGGGCCAGAAGCGGCGATGTGTCAGCACAGCCTGTGTCGCCTGTCGGAAACGCAAGTCCAAGTGTGATGGAGCTGTTCCTAGTTGTGCAGCTTGCTCCAGCGTTTACGGTACTGAGTGTGTCTATGATCCCAACTCGGATCATCGGCGCAAGGGCGTCTACCGTGAAAAGGTCGACAGCATGAAAGCTCGAAACTCGACTTTGCAGATTCTTATTGAAGCTATCCTGAACGCGGATGAGGAAGATGTTCCCGAAATCGTACACAAGATCCGAACTTGCAACAGCCTCGATGCTGTTGCTGAGCAGATTCTCAAGCAGCAGCAAACACCAGAACCACAGCAGCAAGGAACTGAGGACAACGATGATTTGGATCACTCGAATGACAACTATACCACAGAGCCTGTGCAGGGTGAGAGGGATCTCGCTCGGAAGATGGGTGAGCT